CCTTGTGTCTTGTCTTGTTGTTCCATTCTTGGCACCCTTGACCGAATCTAAAGCCCAGAGTTTTTACGATCATTTCCGTATCAAATAGATTGAGTGTGTCCCATATGACAGTGTGAGAAAATCCTGTATTTGCAGAAATGAACAGCATATGCACGTATGTGGTGTTGTGTTATTTAAATGATCATACTATGATGCACTGATCCACTAAATCCCACTCATAATGGCAATAGAGAAATACTAAAAAATGCTCTGTACCAAAACCAAAGAATTAATAAGAAAGATCTTGGATCAGTTGTATAAACTTCTCAACAGAGAGTAAATGAAAACACTTGTTTTAACATTCTTTTCTTCTACTTAATTAGGAAATTGTGAAGGTTTTCCCATAAATGTCACTCTGACCACAAGCATGCATTCTAAGTATATGTGGAGCCAAAAACAGCACACCAGCCACTTTCAAAGGGATGCCCCATCAGCAGGGGTTTACCGGTGTTGCTACCTCAGTTTAGATTGGATCCAACAGGCCTTCTCCTCTGGTTACAAATATGCATTGATAAGCATCATTCCTGTACTTAAATTGAAGTTGGTGGAAGCAGCAAGAATAAGCAGAAGAGAAAACAGGAAAGCTGGATTCCAGCTTCAGAGGCCTCAGGATCAGGTTTCTCTGCAAAAAGCAGCACATTTATATATTTATCCAAAGAATGTGGTTCAGAACAGGAAGCAGAATTCTCTGAGAAAGAGACACAATTGAATGCATTTTTACTTGCCCCGTTTTGTCACTTGAATATTAAATGTCCTTTTTCTTTCTATGTCTTTATTATATGTTACTACTGACAAAAAAGCCTTTGAATCTTTACATTTAAACATGTAGTTACATGCAGAAACACATTAATGCACATGAGGTTGCATGTAATATGTGTGTGTGTGTGTGTGTGGTGTGTGTGTGTGTGTGTGTGTGTGTGTGTGTGTGTGTGTGTGTGTGTGTGTGTGTGTGTGTGTGTGTGTGTGTGTGTGTGTGTGTGTGTGTGTGTGTGTGTGTGTGTGTAGGGGGGGTGGATGTGTGTGCGTGCGTGCGTGCGTGTGTGTGGAAACTTCCCTTTTTGCAGTGTGTCTCTCTTTTTATCGGTGATGCATGACTACCCTCTAGTGGTGATATACAATACTTTTATGTAATAATTATAATAAAATATACTGTGAACTTGGCATCTACCGGTAGATACGGCACATTTTTCCACCTTATTTTAACTCAAATGTGTAATGTTTAAATTATTAAACAGTTCCTCCTCACAATCCCTTCCAACATCTATTACCACAGACTACTGATAAAATGTCTGAGACTGGAAATGTACCCATGTGTTTTTATAATTTTTGATAGTTTAAAAGATCAGCCTTAATGGTTGCTTTTAGAATACTTCTAGACAGAATTATGATTTAAGCAAACATTCACGTCTTGGTTGGCACTTCAGGATATTTTGCAACCCTGAGAACTGAGTCGAGTGCCAACATCAACATATCATCCATGTATATCACAGAGCTGAAGCAGTAATGAAAACAGAAAGGAGTCCCCATGGTGAACATGATGAACTAAAGTAAATGGTTTAAACAGGCGAACCGGGGACAATGGAACATCTCTATTAAAGCCCTGGGAAATTGTAACGGAATGTGGGAACATTTGCTTATTTTTTGTCAGTAACACTGAAAATAATCTGTACCATGGGAATACATTGTTAGCCCCAATTAGCCTTGGAGGACAAAAGGGCAAACTAGTTGTGTCTTTATGGTGCTGAAGCCGAACATTCCCAGTGTTTCTCCTTTGTTGTTTGGTCACAAAATATCGACTGAAAGGGCCCATGTCATGCTTTTCCGGTTATTACCCGTCCCCTTGTGTGTTATGAAGGTTTTTATGCATGTAAACGGTCTGCAGAGTTAAAAACCCTCAAAGTACACCATGTAGCGAGTAAAACTCTAACACAGTCTAAGCTGCCCCAAAACGCCTCGTTGGAGATTTCTCATTTTCCATTGTTTACTTCCTGGGTACTGTGACGTGTGAATACCCAGAGGCCACACCCTCTGCCAGCATTTCACGAAACAAAGCTTCCCAAACCTTTCAGCGATTCATGCCGGATATGTACAGCGTAGGGCACTGAAGAAGATGCTGTTCTTTGTTTGGACCAGCGGGAGATTCGGGTACACAACCTGTAAGTATTAATTGTTGTTTGTGTATTTATGATGTTTAAAACAAACAAGGTATCTACCACGACTGTTTAAATGGGTAAACGTTTTTCGGGCTGCTAAGTTGGGATCGCGGAGAAATGCTCTCCGCAGACCCATTCTCACAGCGTTATAAACCTTTTTCTTACTCAATATCAAGTCACACTTATTGTTTTTACTTCGGCTGTGAGTGTTTGTGTGTGCTCAGAATGAGTTTTGCTTGTTCTCGCTGTATCGCCGACCCGGAAGCCTGTCCGCTCCTCGCAGAAGATCGCAGCAACGAGCCTCTCAACGTCACCGACCAATCAGAGCACACTGGGCTCACAGTGGGGGGGGGGGGTCAGGAGCTCCAACAAGCTGTTTAGGACAGAGAGTGAATACCGGTGAATACATACTTTACAGAGATGCTGTGTGAGAAACCAATGTGAGTTTGGAAAATTGCACAGTATAAATCTATTTTAGTTTACCTCAACAATGGAATTATGATCAGTAGAAATGGCCATGACCCTTTAACTAAAAATATACATGTTAGAAGAGGTCAGTGGGCACAGTGTAAGCTTGGACAAACAACTTTAAACAAAGCCTACCCAAGGTGCCAATTGTCGTTTAAACAACTCAACCAGAGCCACATTAGCATCAAAATAAAAGGTGTTTAAACATAATTTCCAAAAATTCTATAAACACTCAAACACAACATATCCAAACAACACAAACTAAAATGAATATATTGTTTTAATCAAGAATTATAAAATAGGAAATGACAACAAAAAAACAGCAATCACTATGAACTAGTTCAAGCTGTATTTAGTAACAGGGACAGTATGTGCCATCTAAGGCAGGCAAGCACATGAAGGCATGCGTGGTATTATATTCTCAAGAGGTCTTTTTTACTGGAGAGTATTCCGTTTTAAGAAGCAATGCTTTAAAATACTACCAGGGGTCACTATTGCTACAGTTTAAAATAAAAAATGTACACTTCTTTTACTTTTCAATAACCATGTTTCTATAACATTTAATGATTTAGATCCTAATGATGAAAATAAATGTCCCATACATTGTCTAATCTCATGTTATTTCATTGTTTTCTAAAACAAGTTTTAAAATCCTGATTTATTTGATGCATTTACATTCTCCCTCAATAGCTCTCAACATTTTGATGTAACGGGTTTCAGTAATGACTTTAACTGTGCTGTTATTGCATAGTTGTTCAACCAGTCAGTTACATAAGGAACCAGGCAACCACTTCCTCTCCATCACATGTCCTCTCTACTCTTTGGATTAACCACATTCACACACTCAAGCATTAGACCTACTCCAAACAGCAGTGCTTCGTGTGTTTTTGATAGATTATCAGTTGAAAAATGTTCCTGCTTTGAAATGAATGTGGTCTCTGTTAATCAGTTATGGGTGATATGGTCACATGATTTAAACACTGGCTTCCTTGTTTTCAGTGGAAAGTTTTGGTGTTAATGTCACATAAACGTTGTGAATTTCCATACTGGATATGCTGCTTTCATTTTCCCACCCTAAAAGCAGAAACATATACTTTTTATATTACTGTTTTTATTCAAATGTAATGAATTTTAAACACTGGCACATTAAACAAAAGCCATATTACCATCATATCATCCAGCTCTTTACTTAGAAAACCCAGCTAACAAATTATGTAAAAACCTGTACATTTGAATGTGAAAGCTGATACAAGTGTCTTGTGGTTTCTTTCAACTAATCATAACCTGTAAAATAACTGTGAGTGTTGTTAACAATTGTGAGATTAAAACATCATAAAACTACCCTTTGTTAAATGAATACAGAGCTAAAATGAAACATCTGTTCAGCACCTGTAAAGGCATAGTTCCTGCTTCAGAAAGCTGGGTGGGTTCATTGTAAGTGAAACCCTTCCCTTTTGTTTGTCATTCATATTGGCACTCCCCTTACTGACCCTGCTATTGGGTTGTGTGCAAAAGGAAGTCAACTAACGTGTAGGATTCTTATCAGTGACGGTACAGATTAACAGCAGAGGGAAATATACAAAATCTTGTTCGACATTGAAAGGAGACCATCCTGTCCGTTTTCTACAAGAAAACAGAAAGTTTACGCGCTACAGGAGGCAAGTTTGGACACGTTTTGTTTCCTGGGACGTCTGTTTACTCTGAGGAGAAGTCTGTCATTGTGAGAGCTTTTATAAGTTTGTTTGAGGACTTGTCAGTTGTAGGTAAACTTCAAGTGTGTCAAGTTTCACACTGGACACTCAGGACTCTCAGGACACTCAGCATTGTCACTCGCTCACCACTAGAGGGCCCTGTATGACAATTTACAGGAAGTATAGTTATTGCTCTAATATCTAAAGAAGTAATTATGATTTAATTGGCCAATAATTAAGTCTTTATTGTTTTATTACATATATGTGTTTTTTGTTTGTGTTTCATATGAATTAGGTCTAAAGGTAGGATAATGCCCTACAAATTACAAGAGTATATTTAAATTTAATATAATTATATTGTAGACAGAAAACACAGCAATACACTTTCAATTAACAAGTCATACAATTGTTTTAAAAACAGATACAAGTGTGTAAAAATGAGTATCACTCATTATTGACGAGGTGTTGCCAACCTGGTCCGGTGACGTGAACAAGAAAGCTGCTCCCACTCCCAGGTATATAAACATAAACCCTGTCTGTCTGCTCTTTGTTAGGAAGACCTTTGACTTGCAAAGTGTAAAGAAAGAGTATAGTGCTGTGCTGTTAGAGAGCCGGTGAGTGTTCAGGACTCAACTTCAGGGGTAGCAACATGCTGAAAAAACTCTTTCAAGTCCTGTGCTTCTTTGCTTTTTTCACTCTGGCATGTTTTGTGGTGCTTCTATACTTTATAAACGACAGCACTTTAACTCAGTTTAAACAATCAGATGATAAGGTAAACAAGACAGTTCCTCAATGGACCAAAGAACCACAGAATGGATCCCTTAATCTCACCAAAGAAAAGACAGTGATGGCACCCACTCCAAGGAAGGGTTTGGAACCTTGCCCTGACACCTCCCCGCATCTTGTGGGTCCCCTCTTTGTGGAGTTTAATAGCAAAAGATCCTTGGATGATATCAGAAAGGATATGGGTCCCGTTCTGAAGGAGGGAGGACGATACAAGCCTCCAGACTGCATCGCCCTGCAGAAGGTATGAGAATAAATGCAGAGACAAATGAACACATATTGGATCAGTTTTCTGTATTATTAGATACTTGGAATCTATTTTCAAAAAAAGAGGTGTCAAAACTTAATTGAAGTGTGTAATATACATCATATTTATGTGAGAATTCTGACTAAATCACCAACTTTTATGTCCTTACTTTCACTAAGGTGATGCCTACCATTTTGGGGCATTCCAAGTATTTTCTTGTTATGTTAATGTGATAAAATATATTTATTTTTAAGCGTCACTTTAACTAGACCTGTCATATGGGCTTCCTATAGCAAACTCACTGCATTAAACTACATTATGTAAGATATGGTCAGAATCTAATCATGAAATGCTCAAAAAATGAACAAAGATTATAAACTGAATGCATAGAAGTAACAGTTTTGATGTTAGTTAAGTATTGTGTAAATGTCTCCTGAAATGAGCATGCTAGCCATCATGAGAGAATAAAGAAGAGCTGCCCCTTCTGAGGACTTTTCACAGTTTCATGATTGTGTATTGTATTAATCCATAGTGGCAAAAATGAGTGTAGCAACTCAAAATGAAGCAGATCAAAGCCCTGGTACATATCTGTCATGTCAGTTGGTGCCGCCAGCTCGACGTATACATCTGAACTTCTGCCACGTAGAGCAGGATGTACGAGCAGCACGTATATGTACATAGACTGTATGTTTTCACAGTAACGAGTTTAGCCGATTTTACAGACAATTATAAGTTTAAAGGTCACCGTCACTATATGCAAAATCCTTCTGTGGAAAGAGACTCTGAAAGTTTCAGGAAAAAAGATTCTCTCTCTTTTTGTCCTGATCCATTTCCATAAAAACCTGTCTGAAAATGAGCTGATCAGATTTTGGCCACGTCATAACGATTTTTTGGCTTGTGTAATCATTAGCCAATCACCAACCAAGGTATATATCCGAGATCTATAATATATTGATGGAAAACAGTATAATAGGGGACCTTTAATATAAGATTTCCCTACATTCATATTAATGCAAACTTCTTTATTTCACTTGTGTAGGTGGCCATCATCATTGCATTCAGAAATCGGCATGAGCACCTGAAGCACTGGCTGTTTTATCTCCATCCCATACTGATACGACAGCAGTTGGACTACACAGTGTATGTTATCAACCAGGACGGAGACGGAGTGTTCAACCGGGCTAAACTGATGAATGCCGGCTATGTGGAAGCGCTGAAGGAATATGATTATGATTGCTTCGTCTTCTCTGATATAGATTTGATTCCCATCGATGACCGTAACCTCTATAGATGTTTTGAAAATCCAAGACACTTGGCCGTAGCTATGGACAAATTTAATTTCAGGTTACCCTACAACACCTTCTTTGGCGGGGTTTCTTCATTGTCCAAGAAGCAATACTTGAAGATCAATGGCTTCCCAAACACTTACTGGGGCTGGGGGGGTGAGGACGATGACATCTATAAGAGAATTGACTACCGTGGGATGTCCATCTCTCGACCGGACTCTGTGTTGGGAAAGTACAGGATGATCAAACATCAGAGAGACTTGCACAATGAGGTTAATCCAAAGAATCCGGGTAAACTGAGCCACACTCTTAATAACATGGATAAAGATGGGCTTAATACCCTCAAATACACAGTCAAGGAGATTGTGAAGGATGTTCTGTTCACATTTATCACTGTGGATATTGATGCTCCGTCAAGCTAAAGGAAAGAGGAACCTGCGAAACTGGAAATGCTGTTGACTTTTGAATTATCGCTGTGTGTGTGTGTGTGTGTGTGTGTGTGTGTGTGTGTGTGTGTGTGTGTGTGTGTGTGTGGCCTAGCATTACTATACTTGTGGGGACCTACATCTGTTTACACAGTCATGTGTGGGGACTCGCCTCCCTTATGGGGACAAAATGGAGGTCCACATAAGGGGAATCATTAATTTTAGGGTGAAGATTTGGTTAGGTTTAGGGTTAGGGTTAGGGTTAGGTTTAGGGTTAGGTTTAGGGTTAGGGTTAGGGTTAGGGTTAGGGTTAGGTTTAGGGTTAGGTTAAGGGTTAGGGTTAGGCATGTGTTGGTTATGGTTAAGGTTAGGATAAGTCTCCAGGAAATGTATGTAAGTCAATGTGATGTCCCCTGAAGTGATGTATACATGGTATGTGTGTGTGTGTGTGTGTGTGTGTGTGTGTGTGTGTGTGTGTGTGTGTGTGTGTGTGTGTGTGTGTGTGTGTGTGTGTGTGTGTGTGTGTGTGTGTGTGTGTGTGTGTGTGTGTGTGTGTGTACAATTTGCATATGACAATCTAACTTTGAATAGAAAAATGTGAAGGTACTGACAGTGGATTAAAGTAAATCGTTTTTTTAAGAAGAGTTGGACACAATATTACTATTTTATATACTTAATGGAGTATTTGGTATTGATGTTATAATGTGTGCAATCTTAATAGTTTACAAATGGTATCAGAATGTAATTTTTATTGTCTTTTATCAGGTAAAATACAGTTTATCATATACTTCCTCTTGCACAAAGTAATGATAAAATAACCCACATTATACATTACTAATACTAAGTAAATAAAATGATCATGATATTGTTCGGAAAGAGTAAAAAACGATTAACTTAACTTTAATTTACTACCATTATGACCTTTAGTAATGATGTACACTGTCACCATTATGTGTTGGCAAATGATCGGGTGAAGGGTATTTTATTCATCATTCAACACAATACTTTGTAAATGGGATGATTTTGTACTGACACATTTGTCTTAACTGTAAGCAAACAATTTATTGTTTTTGTACTTCAGTTTGCTGTGTAGTTGTGTCCTGTGAATACTTGAAAGTGTGATGAAATCAAAAATGGGTAAATACATGTTATAGTGGTGGGGATGAACAGATTGATTTATCTTTATATTGGAAAGATGGGTTTACTGCTTTTGATGTGATGATTGTGCCTTTGTTTTGTGAACTCTAGCAATGTTTCGGAAACTTTTATAAAGATTTAAAAAAACAACTGTGAGGACATTTGTGGCAATTGAGCTTGTATTATAAGCAAACACCCTTACAGCAATTTTAAAAAGAATACTGCTCAAAGTGTGTAGTTTTTCCGCACTTATGATTTTCTTTTAAATAACTGAGACTTTGATATAGCCTAACTTGTTTTGAGATTAAATACATCAAAGTCACTCTTTGTGAACAATAAAAATTACCCCACGATGAATTGGGTTCATTTCAGTCTCTAGAGCAAGTTTGATCAAAATGATCCTTTAAATTGTTGTTTATCCAATTTTGAAATGCTCTTTGAATTCATAGCATGCCTAATTGTTAAATAGTTTTCCTAATCTTAGCCCATTTTAAACGCAGAGCAGGCAGAGGGACACTTTTCTGAGGAATGCAGTTTTTGGCGAGTGATGTAAGAGAAGAAGGGCGAGGCAGTGAACATATTCCTAGTAGTTTGCTTTTTAACAATAGGTGTTTGCTTTAGCCATGTGGCCCACACTATGTTTCAGGTGTGGCCCTCCAAGGAAAGAAGTTTCGGCACCAGTGAGAGAAGTTAAGTATTTATCTCTTCAGCCTAAAGAGCTGGAGTGACCTGTTTGAAACGTTGATATACTTTGTATTGAAGGGCAGATGCACGACGTACACTGAACAAACATAATTGTTGACTTTAATTAAATGTATTATGTCAACAGATACACGTAATTGTATTAGGTTAGCTGAATCAATAATATAAGGTTGAACCTATTTTTTTATTTAAACTTAATATTGTTGGTTTTAACTAAGCTAATGCAATTATGTGAAATGTGTTGACATTATAATTATATGTAATGAAAGATGCAGCACACACTTTGGAGGGCATGCACACTTGTTATGATGTTCATTATGTTGAGCTGTTTATAATAACATTCACATTTTCACTAAGGGAATTCATTTGGATTGTCAGGTTATGTAGCAGTTGTGTGGTTCGCAAGGGTTTCAGCGAAAATGAAATGAAAATTCAATATTTAGAACAAAGCCATTGTCCTGTGTGTTATGGAAATAATTATCATAGACGCCAATTTGTAACATACAGGACAAACCTTGATGTCTGTTTACCTTCTTTAAGGACACAGGCTGCTTAGCCAATAATGTTATTGTTCCCATTCTGTGACCGGTCAATACTGGGTCACAGATGGTCTGTGTTGTGGGTACACTGGGACACTTCCTTCTCTGTATTTGTGGACTCCAAGGTGAAATCTTCGAGGTCATAGGTGTCCGACGCAAGTAGCTCAGTGTTCCCACACTGTTTAGGCTATCTTCTCAAATATGTTGTTTACTCTCTGCGAAACCAGTTAGATGGGCTGGCAAGAGAGAGGCTCTCCAGAATTGACGTGGCAACTCTACCGTGAAGTCAGAACCTCTGACTCTTGGACTTGTGATGTGAATCCTCCGGCCGTAACTCCAAATAAACCATCATGTGTTTGACATCAAAGCTACTGCTCCTACCGTGTCTCCTTCCTGAGTCGGTGACTCCCACTGCATAGCTACACAGAAGTTTCCTCTACAAATTGGCGTTGTCGGCAGGATGCCAACAGATCTTCAGATTCTGGTAAGTGTGATTTTCAAATCTACTTTGGACATTGCCTTATCAGAATCTGTGATTGACGGTATCCTAAAATTACCTGTGAAACTGATCGGCTGCGTTTCCTTTTGGTTAATGAACATTTGGGGATAGTTAAACCCAGGGAATCAGTGTCTGGGGACCAGGGGCGGACTGGGACTAAAATTCAGCCCTGGAAACTGACCCAGTCCGGCCACATGAAATGTCAAATGTTAGAAATCCGCTGTTTATTATTTAAAGTTTTATGTCAGATTCGCTCCTTTTTCCCTCTCTGTACACAGCTCCAGTTTGGGCATTGCCCTGTCATCAGATTTCGTTTTTAGTTGCGGCTGTAGCGGAAGTTTAGTAAAATTATTTTTGATGAAATATTCCAAATCTCCACCCTCCATAATTGCACTTGCTTCAGTTGCTTGCTACTTTCTAAGGGCGGTGATACAGTATGAACTGAAGTTGATGCGATTTGATTGGATTGTGAGGCGTGAGCCTCATCTGATTGGTCAATTCCTCAATTTTTTGTTCACCAAGGGAAGCCAATTTCGGCTGGCCTCCTCTCGCAACAGAGAGTGCAATCTACTGTTTCACCATAACATCTAAAGGGGCGCTGTTTCACTCTTTGTAAAATACTCAATGAGAATGGGGGAGAGACGGGCCGGCAGAATAATTACCGAAACTAAACGAAGTGTTTTTATTTATTTATTAATATTATAACTACAATCCATAAAAAACAGGGGAAGCTGGCTTCCCTTGGCCTCCAGGAGAAAACGCCACTGAGTTCAAGGGATAATTCTCACCCACCTCTTGCTCTTGCTCTGCACTTGTATGTGCCGGTTGAGCTGGTTCTTCCAGCAGCTCAACTCTGTCCCTCATCATGAACGCAGGAGGCTGGCTGTATATCTGAACTCACGCCCTCATCATTCTCTTCATCATCTTGCATTTGTTTTAAGCTGCTGATGATAGTGCTCGTAGCAGCGCTGCTGCCAAAAAGGTTTGTCAATTTGCGACATGTATATGCTTCAGCAGCTTCACCTGCGAGTGACTTCACCTTTTTTCTCTTGCCTTCTCAGCCCCACCTTTTTCTTTTCGTTTTCTTAGATTTGTATCCATGTTTTTTCATTCTCCCTGTCTGCCGCGGTGTCTAATCCCTTCTCTTCGTGTGGCCGGTCTTTTTTCTTCTTTGTGTGTGATTATTTGACATAAGAATCACACAACTGCATTAGTGGCCGCAGTCGCCCTCTGTCGCCCGTCAGCGCAACTTAAATGATGACGTTAAACTATTTTTTTTTTTTTTAAAGGGCCGGCCGTCAACGGCCCTTGACGACAGGCCGTTCTGTGGTTCTCCAGATTCTACAGATGGCCAGTCCGCCCCTGCCAGTGGGGACTCAGTCCTGGCTGACTTCCTCTGTGTATGCTGATTCGGGACGGAAGTGCCATACAAGCATGCACAGCTCATGTTTAAAGAGACCTTAAAGAAAGGGCATCAGTGAGGTGGAGCTTCTGTGTGAATTGAAAGCAATGCAAAAGATTTGTACTGGACAAATCGCCGGATTTTGAGGGTCTTAGCGGCCAAACATAGCAGTTGAAAATAAGCAGCCAGAGATATTTACTGCTATCACCTCTCTGTAAAAACACGGCTCCAGCTGCAGCCTTGCGTGTGTGTGTGTGTAAAAGAAACCTCACCGTGTGTGTGTGGGGCTGGAGCAGTGCAGGCTGAGAGGAAGAAAATCACAGTTTTTGTATAGGCTTTAACTCACGGCACCGCCGTCCTTCAAACGGGACGGTCTAAAAGCACTCGTTGTTTAGGACCGCTTTTCTCATGGTTAGACGGGCCAGCGCGAAGTGCGTGCATCACCCGATGCGCCACGGTTCTCTGGAGCAGGTGGCGGTCAGGAGTGCATACATAACATTATAGGCTAATTGATCAGAGGTGTGTAGTGGCAAGCAAGCATAGGCAAACTGTGTTTCACCTTGAGGTGAACTCGATAGCAAGTGTATATAGGCTGGTCGTACGGACTACAGTCAACTGAGCTGTTGTTTGGAGAGAAAGGGCAGGGAAAAGTCTGTGGGCTCCGATCGGGGGGGCACAGCGCCACTAGAAACAGATAGCCTAGTGGTTGTCGCAAGAGGATAAGCTAGTTATCGCTCTTGGACGGCTTTCAGGCACCGATAAAGCACTTGTACAAGGGTGGACGCGCGAGTAGGTGCTCCATTTCTATAATTCCCTACCCCCTCTGAAACCTCATAATTCGGACTAAATTGAGCTGAATGAGCTTTGCTGTCGCGCTGGTGTTTATTACGAGTTCATGTTTTGTTTGTCTGATTGTTTGTATGGGGAGTCTATATTGGTTTGTCCCGCCGTCTTGTGTATGTTTTGTAACAACTAATAATGAATCAGTCCATAGACAGGGTAATAATGAACTAAACTTTAGTTATCTCACCAAAAGTAAATGACCTGAGAAAAATAAAAAGTGTTTTTATGTCCTGCCTCTGAGTGCAGGGGAAAATGTAAACAAGAAGCACACTGTTGAGGGTGAGCTCTAGGTGTAAGAAGAAAAGAAGATTATATTGCTTTAAGAATCCATTCTTAAATGGTATTGCTGGTATGTTAAGATATCTTTGTGACCTTGTATAAACCCTATGCCCGTCCTGCGCCCCGAGACCCTCAGAGACTTGCCTGAGGAGATCAGGGTTGCAAAATCTGTTTTTGTAGGTCAATGTTGTATTAGTTGTTTCATTTATTCTTAATCTATGTATTGTATAGTAATAATGAATAAAAACGTAATGTATTGAACACATTCCGAAACAAAGCAGATAAGACAGAACCAAACTCAGACATAATACTAATTGTTGTTGAAACCTTTTGCGCTGTTGCAGCAAAATGGAAACTGTGTTAATTATTCTGTTCCAACTGGCCACTGGAATCGGATAATTAATATAAGTTGAAGTTCAATTACAGTTTTAAAAATTGTTTAACATTCTTTATTAAACTGCTTCAAATTATTTCTAGTATCAACCAATTGGTCTCTATAGACATTACTACAATTAAAATAGTTGTTAAACTACTGACAAGTTGTCTGAAACCGAGCTTATGAACAACAGAGTAAAGGTTGCTGGTTAAGCCAGGATCAATATATGTGTTGAAGTTTTTATTGTGTGCATAATAAATGTGTTAAATTAATTGAGCAATTCTTTAAAAGTATAATGTTGCAATTTCTTTAAAATAAGTAATTACAGTTACAAAATAGGTGTTGTTTTCCAAGGGCCTCTCTTTCACAGGCACTTTGAATCATAACACTCCCAAGTCCTACAGAGATCAGTATCACTTTGTGTTGCAAGCCAAATCCAGGGGTTCTACTCGAGCCCAATTTTAAATACCATAAAGAAAAGTATTGAACCCAGCTCGAGCTAAATGTGAA